TCGGTGGGGAGGTGGTGGCGAGGTGCTTCATCCGGCTCGGTGGGGAGGTGCTTCGACCGGTTCAGTGGGGAGGTGGTGGGGAGGTGCTTCAGCCGGCTCGGTGGGGAGGTGGTGGGGAGGTGCTTCAGCCAGCTCAGTGGGGAGGTGGTGGGGAGGTGCTTCAGCCAGCTTGGTGGGGAGTTGCTTCGACCGTCTCGGTAGGGAGGTGCTTCGACCGGCCCGCTGGGGAGGTGGTGGGGAGGTGCTTCGGCCGGCTCGGTGGGGAGGTGGTGGGGAGGTGCTTCGGCGGGCTCGGTGGGGAGGTGGTGGGGAGGCGCTTCGGCTGGTCGGGGAGGTGCTTTGGCCGCCTCGTTGGGGAGGTGTTGGGGAGGTGCTTCAGCCGGCTCCGTGGGGAGGTGGTGGGTAGGTGCTTCGACCGGCTCGGTGGGGAGGTGGTGGGTTGGTGCTTCGGCCGGGTCGATGGGGAGGTGCTACAGCCGGCTCGGTGGGGAGGTGGTGGGTAGGTGGATCGGCCAGCTCGGTGGGGAGGTGGTGGGGAGGTGCTTCGGCCGGCTTGGTGGGGAGGTGGTGTGTAGGTGCTTCGGCCGGCTCGATGGGGAGGTGGTGGGTAGGTGCTTCGGCCGGCTCGGTGGGAAGGTGGTGGGTAGGTGCTTCGGCCGGCTCAGTGGGGAGGTGGTGGGGAGGTGCTTCGGCCGGCTCGGTGGGGAGGTGCTTTGGCCACCTTGGTGGTGTTACATGCCCGGTTGGGCGATGTACATATAAACCGAGAATCCGCAATGTGATAAAAAGGACTGAATGGACAATGTTGTACAAGTACAATCTCAACTAGCAATGTGCATTCGGATACATACAAAATGATGTTGAATAGCGCAGGGAAGATTTAGATACAAGACCTGACCTGACAGAGACTGACCTCATTCACGTAGTATNTGCATTCGGATACATACAAAATGATGTTGAATAGCGCAGGGAAGATTTAGATACAAGACCTGACCTGACAGAGACTGACCTCATTCACGTAGTATAAGATAGCGAAGCAGAATGCTACAATGATGATGACTAGCCCAACCAATGTTTGAACGCAGACTAAACATACATCGTGTCCATCACAAAGTGTGAAGGAGCCTGGCGTTGTACACAGGAAGGAAGCGCGAAGTCCAGACATACACAGACGAAGAGGAGGGGATCAGACGAAGAGGAGAGGGAGAGATGGGGATGTCGTCAACACCAAGTCCTTGTCATGTGTCCCAAATAATCCCTTGTTGCAATGTCTGAAGTCCAAAAGTCGAGTCTGGGTCGAATGTCACCAAGCTCTTTCTCTCTCCACTCGTAGTCTGCAGATGCTGTGAAGTCAGATAATGAGAGGGGGAGAGGGAGATGGTGGACTGAGAAGAGAAAGAAGAAGAACTCTCTCTCTCTGTTACGGACCAGGAACTAACCTGTGATGTTGGCGCTGTGCTGCAGGTAGCTCGAAGACGAAGCTGGCGCAGCGGCGCTGCAGGTAAGTACCTCTGGCCTCCGCCCAATCTCTCTCTCTCTCTAGTGCTATCCTAGCTATGGCGCCCAGCGCTGGAGACTACAACTACCTATTGCGCCCAGCGCTGAAGACTAAGAGCTAACGCTACTACTACTCCTGCAGCGCTCCCTCCAGAGTGTTGCGGCCGAATCCTGAAGACTACTACCTCCTGCCTGCCCGTGTAATGCATGGGAAGTCCCTATGTACTACCTCGGCCTGCCTCCTGACTGCCTGAAGGGCGAGCGAGGCCGAGGAGGCTGCTCTTGCCAATGCCGAAGTGTGTCAGGGGCTGGCTGCAGCCTCTGCTGAGGCTGGCGTGGGGAACAGGCTAAGAATAGCTTGTTCCCGAAACCCTGGTTCGGTGCCTGAGTTTCAGGGCCGGTCGTTCTGTTGAACGACCGAAAATGGCCCTTCGTTTCAGGCTAAAAAGTCTATTGCCATTTTTAGTCTGAAACGACATAGGGCCTGTAGGCCCCTGTTTTCAGGCTTTCGGGTTGAACAGACACGGGGTCTGTAGGCCCTGGTTTTCAGGCTTTAAGCCTGAATTTCAGGCTTTCAGCCTGAGGGACGCAGGACCTGGAAAATGGCCCTCGTGTGCAGGCGCAGCATGTAACACCCCCCCCTCCTTATGAAGTCAAGCTGGGGCGGGGGCGGAACCGACGATCTGAAGGTGGAACCTGGACACGGACGCGGCGTGGAGCCGAAGAAACCGACTTGCCTTGCATCTTGCGTTCGTAGCGTGCGAGAATGTCCGGAGCTGTTGCTTGAAGTTCCGCACGGGTCAACCAACGGTCAGCTCGGTGTGTGCAGTATGCAAAATGCACCAAATACTCGGTTGGCCTGTTGTCGTAGCGTCGCTGGGAGATAATGTCGCCGACCTACTGAAAACCGTCCATGGAGGGTGGGTCTTGCAAATGTCTCCCGGGAAAATCTTCATGTTCCACTGGTGTGTAAAGAGCCAACTTGGAGCAATGAAAGACTGGGTAGACGGGCAAGTGACCGGGCACCTGAATCATGAAGGAAGGTCCCTCGGGTGCGTCCCCAGCAGGCGCTACGATTGGCCAAGGCCACATCCATTTCAGGAGGAGCTTGCGAGAGATGTCTTGTTCAAGGCTGAATTTCGCTGCGGAAACCCAAACGAGGTCACCGGCGCGGAATGGACTAGGAAGACGCTGACGATTGGCCTATTGGCTCATGCGCTGCTGCGTCTTAGCCATCTGGTTGCGTGCCTTGACAAGAAGCTCTTGCATTCGACGCAAGAAAAGAAGATGGTCGTCGCTCTCAGCCATCCGTGGAGTGATAGTGTCCAACGGTGAAGTGATCGGTGAGTCGTGCTCGAACTCAAAAGGCGATATCCCGATAGTCGGGTGGATGGAAGTGTTGTAGGCCAACTCGACATTCGGCAGCCACTCAACCCAGTCCTTCTGGTCGGGGCGGATGAGAGTGCGAAGGAGAACCTGTGCGGTCTGATGTGCCCTCTCCGTCTGGCCATCGGTCTGAGGGTGGCAAGCTGAACTGGGCTTGAGAGATGAGCCCCATCGCTTGATGAGCGCCAACCAAAAATCGGACATGAACCGGGCGTCGCGGTCGCAGACGATCTCCTTGGGGTAACCCTTGGTTCGAATCCAACCGGCGTAAAGAACCTCGGCCAACTCCGGTGCCTTGGCATGATAGCGACAAGGCAAAGACATGGCGAACTTGGTGAGTCGGTCGGCCACCGTGAGAATCCCATCCACGCCGGTCTTGTGCTTGGGGAATGGCCCCGTGATGTCCATGGCAATCGCTTCCCTTCGCCTCAACGGGACCGGTAATGGTCGTAACTCACCGTACAGACAATGGTTGCGGGATTTGCAGCGTCGGCAAACCTCGCATGATTCGCAATAGCTCATGACGTCGCTGAGAAGGCCGGGCCACCAAAATCACTCGCGAAGTCGGCCAATCATGCGATTGACTCCAAAGTGTCCGGTGGCGGAAGTATCGTGGAACTCGCCAAGAAGCCGTGTACACAAGTGAGGATCACTCGGTACGCAAAGAAGGTCCTTCCCCCGCGTGTGGACAAGCAAGTACTCCTCTTGGATCCGGTAGTGAGAAGGCGCCGGATTTGGAGAGGAGCAATTCACGTACTTGTCGCAAAACTCGGGGTCGGCTTGGTAGCCGCGGATGAAGCTGTTCCGCAGGTCATCATCGATCTCGAAGGTTGAGTAGACCGCGGTACAATGATCAGGACGCCGTGAAAGAGCATCCGCAAAACGGTTCGACTTCCCGGGAATGTGATCGGGAAAGAAGTCGAACTGGTCGATGAAAGTCATCCATCGAGCGATGGTGCTGTTGACGGTGTCTTGGGTCTTATAGAAGACCAACGGATTGTTGTCCGTTACCGATCGAAACTGGCTTCGACCAAGGAGGAAGTGCCGCCACCGCTTGAGCGCGTGGACGAAGGCGAGGAGCTCCTTCTTGCGTGCATCGTCAATGGAATGCACGATGGGCACTTTCTTGCTAAAATACTCGACCAGGTGCCAGTCCACACCATCATGTTGCTCGAGGACTGCACCAATGCCATAGCCTGACGCATCCGTAGTGACGCGCATAGGCAAGAGCGGGTCGTATATCCGCAAGACCTCCGCAGACAATAGCGCGACTTTGAGAGCGAAGAATGATTCCCGTGCCTCCTCTCCGAAGTCAAACGGCCGATCCTCGCATTGAAGCTTGTTCAAGTGGGCCGTGATCTTCGAGTAGCCTTTGATGAAACGCTGATAGTAGTCAGCGAGACCAAGGAACGAGCGGACATATGTGACGTTCCGAGACTCCGGCCACTCTTGGATGGCTTGAATCTTGTTCGATAGCAGACTGATGCCCTCCGGTGTGACAAAATGGTCCAAGTATTCCAACTCTTGCCGGACAAATTCGCACTTGTCGCGGTTGGCCTTGTACTTGGCGCGGCGGAGCGTCTCCAACACTCGTCGAAGATGTCCAAGATGATCCTCCAATGACCGGCTATAGACGAGAATATCGTCTAAGTAGACCAGCACGAACCGGTCCAACATTGCACGAAACTCATTGGTCATTGCCGCCTGAAAGGTTGTCGGAGCGTTGATGAGGCCAAAAGGCATGACCACCCACTCAAAATGCCCGTACCGCGTCTTGAACGCGGACTTGTAGCGATCGTTCGGTCGGATCGAGATTTGATGATATCCCGATTTCAAATCCAACTTAGAAAAATACTTTGCGCCGCCCAGTCGCTTAAGAAGATCGTCGATACGAGGAAGAGGCCTCGCATTCTTGACGGCTTGCGCGTTGAGCTTGCGGTAGTCGATACACAATTGCAGATCCTTGTTCTTCTTCCGGATGAAGAGAACCAGTGCTCCATATGGGGAGCTGCTAGGGCGGATTCAACCCTTGCCCAACAAATCGTCGAGTTGTGCGCGGAGGACCTCAAACTCCTCTTTGCTCATGCGATAGATGCAACCTTTCGGCGACACGACACCGGCCTCAAGAATGATCTCGTGAGAGATGAGTCGATCCGGCACCACACCGGTAGGTGTCTCAAAGATGTCGGCGAACTCGTCCAGCAACCGCACCACCCGGGGGTCCGAAGACAAGTTTGTGGGTGAAGCGTCGGCTACCGCGACAGTCCATCGGAAACATAGGCCGATCTCATCGGGCTGCTCATAAGCGCAAGTCGCCCTGAACGATTTGGCCGTCACCACTTGGCACCGAATCGAAGGGTGCGGTAGAGGAATAGTACACGCCACTTCCGCGCCGAAGGCGTCGCGAACGCTAAGAGTCCGCCGGTGGAAGTTGATCGTGTGATCCACACTTGCAAGCCAAGGCATTCCCAGAATGATGTCGAAGTCCGTGTCGAGAATATCGAATGTCACCGGTTCGCATGCATGAGGTGCGAAGTAGACTGGTACGGCCTCGATGTAACGGTCGAGAAGTTGCTGCGTTTTCCCATCCGCCAACTTGATCGCCGTCGGGTTTGCCTTCCTCCGAACTTGTGCGCCAAGGCCAGCCCTTTGCATAAAGGATTGGCTCATGAAATTGCGAGACGCGCCGCTATCCAGCAAAGCGCTGCAGGACGCTTGCCCTACCTGAATGCGGACATACATGAGCGGTGCGTTGTTGTCAACGTACTGCTGCGTGCGAAACTCGCGGGCCACCTTGTTAGTATACGCAAGGATGTCCCCCACCGCGACTTCGTCATCCGTCGGTGAAGTTGGTGGTGCATAGAAGGATAAGTAAGTGTGGAGATGAGCGTATAGTGTTGCGCATTGCGGTCCCGGCAAGAGGCCTGTGGTCGGGAGAGGAAGCCATGCAAAGTCCTCGAACGTGAGCGGGTCCAATACCTCTATGTTGAACTCGCGCGCCGAATCTCGTGATGAACCACTTGAAGACGATATGTCRCCGTTGTCGGACGGAGAAGAAACCACACACACTTCTTGTCCTTGAGCTTGAGTTCCCAGCGTAGGAACGAGCCGGACAGCATAGTCCTCAAAAGAAAGTAGAAGAGGAGGACTATCGACCTCCGCGTGCGCCTCGGAATGAAGGTCGGTTACTCGCGAAGAAACCGGTTCCGGAGGCGTCGAGAGTGTTGTCGAGTCACTCTCGGTGGTGCTCAGTTTCCTTGTTTGCCCTTGCCTTTCAATGGGCAGACCAGCGTCTGATGAAGATCGTTGTTGCACCAAAGGCAATAGTGGAATCTCTCGCGCGCTTTGAATGCTTGCTCGGAGATGCCATATTGGGACCATGGACCTGCTGGAGCTGCTGCACCAGGCCCGGGGCTAGATGCGGTGTGTGCCTTCGTCTTGCCGCGTCCTCGGCCTCTGCCGGGGCGGCCACCTTCCCGGGCGGCTGCGAGTCTGTCCCCTTCACTGGCAGACACAGCCTCGCTGGTTTGGTCAAACGGCGTTGCCGCTGCGACCACGGCCACTGTTGGCCGGTGCTGGTCCTTGCTCGGGCCTGATGCAGATGAACGGAGGTTCTTGGCCTCCTTGTTCGTGATGATGATCTGCGCGGCCTTGTCAAACAGTTCCGTCGTTGTCGTCAAGGTGTCCTCGACGTGAGTCAGGGCATTGCTTAATGTCGAACATGACCTTGAGATGAAGTAGTGGCGGATGGCATTGAAACCCATCTGGATGTCTGGGCTGACGTCAAGCGTTGGTACTCGACAATCCAGTCGGTACTCGGCAGCGTGCCTTGCTCGAAGACCATGAGCTTGTCCATGGCTTTGATCTCCGGCGGCTCTACTTGGAACCGCTTGTGCCGTGCTGCCTTCAGATCATCCCAACTGATCTTGGTGCGCAAGTCGGCAGCTACCACTCCGTACTTGGACAAGAGTTTGTCCAACCAAGCCTGGCACGCGCCCCCTGAGCGAGAGTACAAGTATGTGTGGTGCTTGTGTTATTTGACGTTGTGGAGCTACAGAGTGAGCTCGAACTTGCGGAACCAAGGAATCCGATCTGTCTTGATCGAGTCGCAGAAGATCTCCTGCCCGTCAAACTTTGGAGCTGTCTCGCGCGGCTCCGAACTCGAGGTATTGGCGGTGGTACAGATCCGCTGCTGCAACTGTTGCGTCGCGGTCTGCTGTAACTGTGCGTCGTCCTGGAGGGAGCCGACGCGCATCTTCAATGCTTCGAGGCGATCGGAGGTATTGGAAGAGCTTGCATCGGGTGCGGCGACCAGTCACTGCTCCAGCTGCTGAAGGCGGCTTTGGACTTGGGCTAGCGAGTCCTCGAGGCTGTGGATATCCTCCTGCTGTGTGATGCATGTAGCCAGGAGGTCTGTGAGATGCGAGAGGAGGAGAGCGATCTTGTTTTCGCAATCCTCCAACTTGCCATTCTCGTCCTCGGTCCGCCATGCCGCTGCCGTTGTGAGCAAAGTCTGCTCTCCGCTAAATATCTTCTCACGACGTTGGTTCCTTTCTTCATCGGCAGCCCTTGCTGCTGCCTCGTCATGCTGGCACTGTTGTTCAAGTGCCAGCAGACTTGCCTGTTCGGCATCCTCTGCCTTCTTCTTTGCTGCTGCTGCTGCGTCATCTGCCCGTTTCTTAGTTTCGGTACTCCAAGCCAGCATCCGGGCCTGATAGGCCTCGTCTGCTTCTCCGGACCTCTGGTCCATGACGGTTGTATGTGACCGCAACAGCATAGACCAGGTCGGGGGCCTGCTGACGTGGTTCCTGCTCTGTCGACTGACGTGGCCTGCTGACATGTCCTGCTGACAAGGCCTGCTGACGTGGTCTGCTGGCGTGTCCTGCTGACGTGTCCTGCTGACGTAGTCTGCTGACGTGGCCTGCTGACGTGGCCTGCTGACGTGGCCTGCTGACGTGGCAACTCACCAATGCCGCCGCAGGGGGTACCCGGAGTCAGGTAGAGAAGGTAAGGCGAGAGGTGGCAACAACATAGGTGGGGAGGGTGGGTGGGAAGAATCGCCCAGATAAGGAGCCACTAATCAAAAAAGAAAAGTTCGAACTTTGCAAAAAAAATTCGAAAAATAAAAACATCCAGACTTTTGCAAGTTCCGTAGGTCTCCGAACCTCCCTTGAAGTTTGAAATGATCAACGAGAGAAAAAATTTTGACTTCAGACTGCAAATGATTTATAGAACTAACTAACAAAATCCTAGAACTGCGAAAGAAATTTCCGAACAGAAATGACAAGTATTCGGATTTTCTCAGATGAGAATATTCGCAGTTTGGAAAATAATACCTGCAGAAGGGATTTCCCGTACCGTTTTCAGAAAAACGAATTTCGAAAAAGAAAATATTCCGGATTTTTAAGTAACGGGAAATGCAACAAGAAATCGAAATTTTTGAAAAGGAAAATATTCCGGATTTTTAACAACGAAATTTCGAATTTTCAGAAGGAAAAACGAAAATGGAAATTTCAGATGTTGTGCAATTGCGATTTTCCACCACAGAGTAGCGAGAAAACAAAATCCAAGAAAAGAAAAAAAAATTCGATTTTCGGTAGTAAGGTCAAAATCGTGATTTCGGGGTCTAACTAGTGTGCTCTAATCAATCAACAAAGACTAATCAGCTACCTAGTCCCCACACACGTGTCAGATCAGGTTGTCCTGATTCACGTGCGAAGCACCGATACCAACTGTTACATGCCCGGTTGGGCGATGTACATATAAACCGAGAATCCGCAATGTGATAAAAAGGACTGAATGGACAATGCTGTGCAAGTACAATCTCAACTAGCAATGTGCATTCGGATACATACAAAATGATGTTGAATAGCGCAGGGAAGATTTAGATACAAGACCTGACCTGACAGAGACTGACCTCATTCACGTAGTATCAGATAGCGAAGCAGAATGCTAGAATGCTGATGACTAGCCCAACCAATGTTTGAACGCAGACTAAACATACATCGTGTCCATCACAAAGTGTGAAGGAGCCTGGCGCTGTACACAGGAGGGAAGCGCCAGGTCCAGACATACACAGACGAAGAGGAGGGGATCAGACGAAGAGGAGAGGGAGAGATGGGGATGTCGTCAACACCAAGTCCTTGTCACAAGTCCCAAATAATCCCTCGTTGCAATGTCTGAAGTCCAAAAGTCGAGTCTGGGTCCAATGTCACCAAGCTCTTTCTCTCTTCTCTCGTAGTCTGCAGATGCAGTGAAGTCAGAAAATGAGAGGGGGAGAGGGAGATGGTGGACTGAGAAGAGGAAGAAGAAGAACTCTCTCTCTCTGTTACGGACCAGGAACTAACCTGTGATGTTGGCGCTGTGCTGCAGGTACCTCGAAGTCGAAGCTGGAGCAACGGCGCTGCAGGTAAGTACCTCTGGCCTCCGCCCTATCTCTCTCTCTCTCTAGTGCTATCCTAGCTATGGCGCCCAGCGCTGGAGACTACAGCTACCTACTGCGCCCAGCGCTGAAGACTAAGAGCTAACGCTACTACTAGTCCTGCAGCGCTCCCTCCAGAGTGCTGCGTCCGAATCCTGAAGACTACTGCCTCCTGCCTGCCCGTGAAGTGCATGGGAAATCCCTATGTACTTCCTCGGCCTGCCTCCTGACTGCCTGAAGGGCGAGCCAGGCCGAGGAGGCTGCTCTTGCCAATGCCGAAGTGTGCCAGGGGCTGGCTGCAGCCTCTGCTGAGGCTGGCGTGGAAACCCTGGTTCGGTGCCTGAGTTTCAGGGCCGGCCGTTCTGATGAACGACCGAAAATGGCCCTTCGTTTCAGGCTAAAAAGGCTATTGCCATTTTTATTATGAAACGACACAGGGCCTGTAGGCCCCTGTTTTCAGGCTTTCGGGCTGACCAGACACGGGGACTGTAGGCCCTGGTTTTCAGGCTTTAAGCCTGAATTTCAGGCTTTCAGCCTGAGGGACGCAGGGCCTGGAAAATGGCCCTCGTGTGCAGGCGCAGCATGTAACAGTGGGAAGGTGCTTCGGCCGGCTCTGTGGGGAGGTGGTGGGTAGGTGCTTCGGCCGGCTCGGTGGGGAGGTGGTGGGTAGGTGCTTCGGCGGCTCGGTGGGGAGGTGGTGGG